CGTCATCTCATCCTAGGGCATGGTCCGAGGGGGCATGCCAGGGTGAGGGCCCATGAGACCTGGTGGGGGGATCCCCATCTCTGGCGGTCGTCCAATTCCATAGAACTCTCTCGGGGGAGGTGGAGCGGGTGCGTATGCAGGAACGCCTGCGGTGAGCTCCTCGAGGGAGGGAAGTTGAGGTGGAAGGCCTGGCAGATGTCCTGGGATTGCGCGTGAGGACGATCCCTTTCTCGGTCGGGATAGAGAGGTGCTGGCGCGGCGTGTTCTGGTGGTTGGGGGATCGATGGCGGCACTGGAGAGAGAGAATGGTACTACGCCTGCGCGCCGAGCCATCTCTTGCTCTCCTAGCTGCCAGTGCATGGCCTCTGCTGCGCGCCATGGGATAGCCATCTCCTCCGCTACCTTGGACCACATTTCGGCTTTGAACCTATCAAATGAATGTGAGATTAGTGGATCTGTTTCCTTTCCGAGTTGCCATCTCTTCCCCGCCAGAACCTACCTCTCATATAAACGGGCTAGTTTGTTTTTCTTATCTTCATCCCATTCACTTCGGCGTTCCAGGTAATTCTGATAATGAAGACGGCAACTGATGGCACTGCGGCCGGGGAGTCGTTTGCTGATATCCTCCCACTTCATGCCACTGCCACGCAGTTCAATTATCAAGGCGTCCTCATCTGGTGACCACTTGGACTGTTTCTTTGCTGGAGATTCGGAGGTGTGCGAGGGTTGTAGGCGCTTGGCAGCACCCGACGGGCCGGTCTTGGTCATGGGTGGCATGGCCATGGCAGCCGGGCCCGGCATCGTCATCATGGGACCCAAGCCCAGTGGTGGCCCTATCGTTCTGGGCGGGTACCCGGTGTTCATACCGGGGGCGGTTTCTTCCTCATCTTGGGGCTTGAGTAGCAGTGAGATATCCACTTTGACAGGAGGCAATATAGGCCGATTTTGTAACGCAATCATATGCGCGGATGAGCACCAGTGAATATAATAGAAAACAAAGCAGCAGGGAGATCCCCAACTGGCAGGGGGAAGAGGCAAAAAAAAAAGAGAAGGAAGGGAAAAGACGGAAGGTTCTCGTGATCCCAAGTCTTGTCCCAAATATGACGACAGAACGATCAAACGTCCCAATCTTCAAACTCTTTTTTTTTGGAAATTGAATTGAATGGAAATCTCCAAGATATCAGAGAACAGAAATGAGGGGAAGGAAGTATGGAAGTATGGTTGGAAATGTGCTAATGAAGAAGTTAAGGATTGTAGAATTCATAAAGAAAAGGGAGAAGAAAAAAAGGACCATATGAAGCATCCAACTAGAAGGTGAAACGAATCCAGAAGTGACAGCTGATCTAAACCTATCTTGAAAAGAAGAGAGGAGAAAAAAAAGAAGAGTCTTAGACCGTTGGGGGGTGGACTATTAAGGGTAACGGCTGTTACAGAGTAAAAAATACTTAATACTTCAATATCCACTGGTTTTAATTAAAGATGCGGTCAGTTCCCCTGTCTAGTTTGATCTTCGTTATGTGTTTTTTTTTTCTTTTTTTTTCTTTTGGTTTGAGATCATTAGGTTATGTGTTTTTAGGTTGGGATTTAAGTACAAACGTTGTAGTTATAGAATGATATATATATAAGTATATAGATCTAGTATAAGAGTAGTACCCATTTTGAAGACCTTATACTCCGTAGACTATCGACTTTTGACTCCAAAGTATATAGGTAAAATGTTTGATATGACCTGCAGAGTTTCATACTAACCTAGAAAAGGAAGAGGGGCAACCTTCCATGGGAAGCAAACGGTACCATAGTACAGAGTACTGCCATAGTACTACGCATAGTATCTACCATAGTGTACCCAAGCATAGTGCCATACTAAATTATGTTAACTTGACTAATTCTACGGAGTACTAATTCTACTAATTAATCTTAATTATATTTTTTTTGGGGGGGGGCATTTAATTTATTAAATTCAAAATTCAAGAATAAAAAATAAATAAAACACATAAAACCAAATAAAACCAAATAATCAATAATAAAACATAACAAAATAAAATAAAATAAATAATAAAACCCGGGGACCCGCATCACCCTTTGGTTAAATGAGAACGGTCTTCTCCGGTCCAGAGCCCAGCCCGCAACTAAAAAAGTTCCAGATCGTTTAACGGCTTTTTATTTTTTGGTATTTTTATTTTTATTTTTTGAAAATATGTTGATACCCGCTTAAAGGTACTATAACTCCGTGCGGTTCACGGGGACTTACTAGGATATGTCAACCTTGGAACCAGTCGGGGATTTTTCTCTCATTATTCACTTCCAAGGTTTCTTCCCCCCCCTTGCTCTTTGCGGGGCTCTTCCGGGTTCCCAAAGTCTCGGGTGTCCATGTGTTCATTCTCTATAATCAATGTATACATTATTGTTGTATACTCCCTATAAAAGAATATAATATATATATAAATATATATAATATACATACGGAGTAAATATCCAAGATATATAAAGGGTTGTCTTCAAATTTGAATTCAAGATGCTGTAACGCATTTACTTTCTATTTCTTTTTCTTTTTCTTTTTCTCTTTTTTATATTTTACCAGTCCTGAATCCAGTCCTGAATCCAGTCCTGAAATTGGATTGGGCCCAGAATCCTATTATACCCCAATCTCCTCCAGATTTAAGATTGGGAGTAACTTGAGTAATTTGCTATATCCTCAAGACCTAGGCCAAGGTCTCAGAACTGTCTCTTGAACGACGGGGCACGCGTTCACGCATTTCCAAGATTTAAGGGACTGGTGGGTCATTTTAATATTTCCAAGGTTCCTAGTTAATAGCCCTGTCAATTTCCTTCAATTTCCACCAGTTCCACACTTTGACAGCCAATTTCCCGTACAAAGTACAATGCAATTCTACAGTGCACGTCATCCCCGACCCAGAAACCGGGCATGTGCCTAGGCCGAACACGAGTTCCTGACCTTCGTTGGATCCTTGGATTCTTTATATTATTTTTATATTTTTATATTATTCTGATATTCTTCTATATTTTATATTCTATCTTCTTTTATTATTCATTATAATTATATTTACCTAGGTAGATTGTATATTAACGATCCCTCGGTAGATATTAAATGAGTTTCCCTTTACCTTCCCGAAGATCAGCTTTCCTGAAACATGCGTTCAGTCAATGCACCGAGGATCAGCAAGCCCTCTTCTTATTCCTAAGCCTCGAATCTCGTCTATCAACTTTCTCATCAGGCAACGGAAAGGCAAAGGGGAAAAGAGAGAGTCGAACGTGTAAGTGGATCATGTACAACGTTCGCAAGGCGATCGTTGCCTCCCTTGGCTTCGTTCGGAGTCAGCACAGACATGACCCGTTCGGCAGCTACGGCTTTCGACCTTATGATCCGCTTGAGGTAACGGGGGCAATCCGTAGACCAATTCCCGGGTTATGTCCGAAGGAATGACAGGTAAGAATGGGGATATAAAAAGAGAGAATTCAGGTCCTGACTCGAGGCGGGAGTCAGAAAGATCTTAGGGAGTCAGACACGGGAAAGAAGAAGCCACAAGTGTGATGATACACGCAGGATGTCATCTAACCGTCCAGGGGGGGGGGAAGAAGACCAGGTCAACCAACCATGAAGAAATAACGGTGTGGAGTTTCGAGGAGGGGCAAACGTTGGATCATCACAACTATGACCTAAGTGGTAGCGAAGAGCTGGTGGCGCTGCGCGGAGTGTTTCTCCTTTCTATTTATTCTCGCGATCGCCCTAAATATCCGACACGCACCCGTTGGACCCGGTTTTTTGGTGGAGTTTGATTCGAAGCTCATTATTTTGCTGTCATTTTCGGTCATTTCAATCATTTCAATCATTTCAGGTATTGATTTTAGGGGGTTTCTCTGGGAGCTTATAGGTTTGTTCGACCTGATGTACCTACCACTAGCCACATATGCACTGTGAACGGAGAATTTGGGTTCCACTTAGATCATTGAGATCATCTGCTTCAGCTGAAGTGGCGCTCAACCGTTTGGATTTGGAGGGGCAGTGCGCTCAACGGTGGATCTTCGGTAGATGCGAGGAACCCTGCTGTCAAGACCTATATACACTATAATGGATCATCGGGGCAGGTCATATCTGTTCCGGGAGTGGATGTATCTCAAATATATACGTATACTACCATGTACTTGCACAAAGTACAGAGACAAATCCCGATATACCGAAGTACGGTATAGCTTTCGGCCGGATCTCTGGATATATGCCATGGCCAATCATTAGCCTTCAGATTTCTATTTCATTTAGCTCCACATCTGAAACAGCTGCCTTGTGGGGGGCTTCCTTCTAGACACGTTATACTCCGTAGACACTTTATAGACACTTTATAGACACTTTAGGTGGAACTGGTTCATTTGTATTTCTCCTCCAGTCCGTAAAGTTAAGATTATCTTTATTATCTTTATAGACTGGTCTCGAACATTCTTATAATGCAAAAACCGGGGGAAATGAGGGCTATAAAGGAAATTGCCCGATTCCAACCCATTCAGGGTCCCACTGGGCCTTGAAATTTGACTGAAATTGTCCCTAGAACATAGGAAGTTGATCTCAGGGATGAGTCGCACTTTCATTTTCACTTTTCTCTTTGAATATGGGTACAAATCCTTACTATATTCTATTTATAGAAAGAGAGATGTTCCTACTCCGAGAAATTTCCTTTGTTTAGATGCAAGTCAACTTCGAATTAGATGTAAAATCTTGGAACGATAGGAAATCTGTGAAAGAACAAAATAATAAAATCAAAAGTTGAAAGGAATTCGAGTCGATAGATTTCTTTACTTTCTTTCATCGCTGTCTTCATATCGTTGATTCATTGGTTCCATCCTAAATTCTTTGAATTCAAGTCGATGCCCTATTTTCTTTGGAGGTGAAGACAATGAAGATCGGTTGTAACTCAAGATAAATTAACCTGCGAGCCCCTCAAGTGAGTAATAGCTTCATATCACACCTATTCATTTTGTATTCTATCATGGCCAACCCTAAACCCACAGAGGAATTTGAAGAGGAATTGGAAGAGGAATTGGAAGAGGAATTGGAAGAGGAACAGGAATTGGAAGAGAACTTCGAAGAGGAAGTGTTGGAAGTGGCAGATGAAACAGAGCCAAGAGAAAAGTCAGGAAAAGAGAAAAGGACATTGAGAGTAGGTGTATATAGCCAACCTCTTTCAATATCAACACTCTCTAACAGAGATAGACCGTCATCCCCAATTATTGGCATCCAGACTTCCCTGACAAAACCACCGTGGGCTTTCCAAATGACGGAGTTGACTGTTATCGAAATGTCGTCTTCCAAATGATTCTACATATGCCGATTTTCTACAATTGGCTCATCTGGTATAGGGAGCACCATGCCCCTAAGGGTTACGTTTGCAATCTGGGCTCATCTGAAGAAGGTCCCAGCGAATGCCAAGTTTGTCAACTTGCTGAGATCTCCCAGGCTTACTGGGCAGGTGAAACGGAAAGTTGGATGCCTACCTTTGATTCCCTAACACACTCGCTCTTGCATGGTTGGAAACCAGGTGGAGTTGACTCGGAACAAGACCCGGCAGAATATTTTGAAGTGCTTTTCAACGCCATCAAAAATAGCACCAAGCCTATGATGTATNTTTCCCCCCCCCCCCCACCTCTCATAGAAGACTGACTTTGGACTCCAGGCAAGGAGATTTGGAAGATATCTTCCGGGTCGAAATCATCCAAGCAATGAGATGCGCCGGGAAGAACCCTTGTGACCCAAAATACACCCTAGATCCGTGCTTGTTCATGAGGATCAGCTTATCCGGGGAAGAGGGGGATATACTCCCCGAGAAGCCTACTTTGAGCGATATAATCGCACAGCACTTTGACCATGAGGACGATTTCGGTGTGTGTGCGCAGTGTGGAGGCAAGAAGACAGCCAAAGACCAAATTGGAAGTTTTCCTGAGCTTCTCTTGGTCCATCTCAACCGCACCAGTCAGTCGGGCAAGAAGATCGACACCCATGTCTATCTGAGCGAACAGTTAAATATCGAGACACGGTTCATGGATGAACGCTGGGGCAACGAACGAAAAGTTGTACAGTATAAATTAACTTCAGTGGTCTTGCATCATGGTCAGGATGTGACACGAGGTCATTACAGTATCGGCGTTAAGGGTAAAGGGGATGAATGGACCAAGGCGAATGACACTGAAATCTCGGACTGGAACCCCGAAGGGCGCGGAGGCAACCCAAACCATCTCGCCACCGGTTATCTCTTTACATATCGCCGATTACCCACAGATGACCCAGTACGGAGACACCCAGAGCCACAGACAGCCGAGGAAAATGCTGTGGAAATCGACGCCGCTTTAGCATGGGACGACGAGGCTTTGTTCGCGGATTTTGATTCTGGGCCAGTACCAGAATCAGGCTCCTATGTCTTGGGAAATGACCCCAAGGCATTGGGGAAGTTACTAGGTGCGATGATACCCAAGGTTGTTGATAGCTATATAGCTCGCTCAGCGGATGCGAGGCGCAAGGAGTGGGATAAATGGGCGAATGAATGGGAGAAGAAGAGGGGAACGGTCAAAGCAAAGGCTTCGACTTTTGCTATTGGTCCTGCCATTGGTTCTGATATTAACACCGGTTCCAATGAGGATATAGTCGACTGGAATAAGCAACGAGGACGACTTGAGATAACTTTGACTGGAGATGCGGGCAAAGGGGCAAAGGTGTTGGATCTTGAAGTACAAGGAATGCACTATAATCGACTCAAGAGGAAGAAAGGAGAGAGGACAGAGGAAGAAGCCTCGGAAAAAGATTCGACATTTAGCAAATTTAAGAGAAAGGTGCAAGGTAAAGCGAAGGAATATGGCAATGGGAAGGGAAATAGGAAGGGGAAGGGGAATGGGAAGAAGTAGAAGTTGAGGAGTTGAGATATCTCGGGAGTTCTTTTGGTTCTTTCAATCTTCCATTTCCATCTCCATCTCCATCTCCATCTCCATCTCCATCTCCATCTTCATCTTCCCTCTCTCGACACCAAATGGATTCTAATTCTCCTCATATCTTCATTGATCGTTTGATCACAAAATTGGCAGAACAGCCAGCTGGTGGACTTTCAAAGAATCTAAAACCATTGATGTTAACATTGCACTGTCTATTCCCAAATGACTTCCTCCCTGCTCTTGATCTCCTCGACCGCAAACTAGTACGTCAACTTGTGCGCTCAGATCAATGTGCCACATCTCTAGAGACAGCCCAAGAGGATATTTTCATCGTGATATCTGCCTCGGTACCGCCTTCACTTCCCGGCTTATCAGTCCCTTCTCAAGAAAAGGGCTACGAGGTTCGACTGCGTGCCTGGAATTGCAGCTGTCCTACATTTACCCTGTCTGCATACCGAGACTCTCATCTCTCGGCGAATCATCCGACAAACGAACAGAACCAGTCGACTTACTCATTTGGCGGAACGTTAGCTCGTGGTACGGCTCGGGTGTCGCCTCCTACCTGCAAACATATCCTAGCCTGTATTCTACATGCACGGTGCCCTGAGCTGTTCGGGACTGACGGGGATAGCCGATTCGCCGTTTCCAAGGAGGAATTGGCAGGCTGGTGTGCTGGTTGGGGTGGTTGATTTGCTTGGCTCTTCACACGTCAACGCAAATTGATGTACGATGAATATTATGCACTTGGGCAAAGAGTCCTTGACCCCCGTGGCAGCCGCAAGCGACCATATGAGAACTATATCCGCAAATGACAACGGGCCTTACTACGGACCCTTGTCCATTCTATCTGAACCATCTGAACCATCTGCCCGTGTCCGGGCAATCAATCGTTGAACAACGTATGAGAAGTCGACTGGCAACGAATGGGAATTGTCCCGGAGCCGTCCAGATTGCGGGATGATTGCATGACAGACACGCCAATGACAGTGTTGCTACTTTAGGGGTACTTAAAATATACACCTTACAGAGAAACAAAGGTCTTTGCTCGCTGTACGAAGTGGACAGACTTGAACTACTTGAACTACTGATAACAGGAGCTTGATCTTGACTATCCAATATACCTAGAGAGATACAAGAAAAACCGGTTGAAATGTCGTATGCTTCACTCATTGGATTGACAATTCTAAGAGAATAAATTAAGAAAAGTCCCCTAGTTCTTCTTGTTCTTGTCGGAGCTATCCTGCTCCTCCTTCTGCTCGCCATTTGGCGATCCGGCCTTCTTGACCTCCTTGTCTCCCTTAGTTCCATTAGCCTCTTGGTCCCGCTTGGTGTCACTCTCCTCTTGCTGTTGTCGGTTCTGGATCTTGTTATCGATTAAGTCATGGAAAGCCGTGATAGCACGGATCAAGCTGCTGATGTAGATAGCCATCAATTGATCATTAGTCTTGACACTCATGGCCCGCGCCAACTCGCTGTTCTCAATCTGCGGCTCCTGGCCGTTGGTCCGTTGCGTCGCCGGGGGGGTAGACAGATTGGGAAGGAGATTGAAAACATCCTGGAGGTTGCCCAGAATAGCGTGGTTGACGGGAAGTTCCTTATCGAGAACTTTCTGGAGGTATTGGCCGATATCGCGTAGCCGCAGGTGCAATCCTTGCAGCGACTGCAGCTGCGACGTGATACGGGTGGAAAGTGTGCCGACTGCGACGTCCCTGATGTCTCGGAGGAGGTGCTCCACGCCAATCTCCTCTGCTTCTTCTGCCTCGATTATCGACGGGGTGTGCACAAATGTCCGGGAGGTTGTTGTTCCATCCTGCAAGTGAGAAAAATAGCTCTGGTTAGCCCTGGTGGCCTGGTGGGTGCTTCCTCGGATTCAAATGCAAACTCACATCCTTGATTTCATCCACAGCGAAGTAGGCATCTGTAGGAACACCGACTTCCTTCGGTTGTACATCGACAATAACCAGCAAGGGATTGGGCGTGTATTTCTTGAAGAGCTCATTGATCTCCAAATCCGAAGCGCGCAGCTTAGGACCCGAGTGGTACCAGCCGACCAGCTTCTCGCGAGCATTGATTTTCTTGAACATATCCCTCATCGACTCGACGAAGTTGTGATCCAAGAACCACACTGATGGGTCTTTTTCATCCTCCTCGAACGGAACTAGAGAGATAGAAACACAGATGTCAGCTCATGTGTTGTATGGGTTTGATTCACCAAAGCTTGCACTCACCAGCAAAACTGTTTGATACCCGGACATTATCGCCCGAGTTCTCACCCAGTAGTACACCTACAACACGTTTCCTGGTACCCTTCGCCGTTCTCCCATAGTGATCTGCGACGGAGAGGAGGACTAACGGGGCAACCGTCACGGAGCGGTTGACGAGGGATAGCGTGTCCGCCGTGGTGGCAGGCATCGTGAAAGGAAGAAAAGGTGAAAAAAGATCGAGAGCTATAAGGGACGATTAAAGCTCGTAGATTAAATAAAATCTAATGGAATAGCAAATCAACGCGAGACAGGAGAATGCGGTGGATGGAGAGCGATGATGCACAGGTGCTCTTGAGAGCTCTCCGCCACAGAGCTGCGCCATCTTGCGGCTGGAGAACTTAGTAAGCAGCCACCTTGCATTTTGCCCGGTGAGAAGAGGAATATCATTTTGTTACACATAGAATATAGAAACAAGATATATATAGAATAAAGAATAGGTTATATAGATATCAGACATCAATTATATCAAGATGTAATTTGTATACATTCGCCTTTACAGAATTCTACCAACTATGTACGGAGTACCTATCCAGTCCATTCCCTCGTGAAGCCCGTGCTTTCCGAACCTCGGGCGCTAAGTTCCTTGCGAATCTTCCCTTTCCCCGTTTCTCCGTTTCCCCGTCTACAGTCTTTCTCTTCAAACCTCTCCCCTCTTACAATTCACAATGGCTCCCATCACTGAAGAGGCCGTCTCCGGTCTGAAGAACACCATCCACCAGCTGGAGGCAAAGGTGTCCGAGCTTGAGAGCCGTCTTGCCAATGGCGGCAAGCCCAAGTCCGCTACTGAGCAGATGCGCATCATCCTGATGGGCCCTCCTGGTGCAGGTATGTAATTGAACTGTAATTGGAAAAAAAGAAAAAGGCAATGGATATTAACAGGTTCAACTAGGCAAGGGTACTCAAGCCCCGAACCTTAAGGAAAAGTACTGCGCGTGCCACCTGGTGAGTAGAAAGCTTGCCCGAGTACAGCATAAGCTCTTCCCGCTAAAATATTTCCTGAATAGGCCACTGGAGACATGCTGCGGTCCCAGGTCGCGAAGAAGACCGATCTTGGAAAGGAAGCCAAGAAGATCATGGACCAGGGTGGTCTCGTTAGCGACGAGATCATGGTCAACATGATCAAGAGCGAGCTGGACAACAACTCAGAGTGCAAGAACGGGTGCGTACATCTACATTCCCCTCCCTAATTGATTTTCCTCCGATGCCCGGCCAGAATTAACACGAGAGGTGGACAGTTTCATTCTGGATGGTTTCCCCCGGACGGTTGCGCAGGCCGAGCGTCTCGATGACATGCTCGTCGCTCGTGACCAGAAGCTCCAGCACGCCGTTGAGCTGCAGATTGACGACTCCCTACTGGTGGCTCGTATCACCGGCCGCCTGGTCCACCCTGCCTCTGGCCGCTCGTACCACAAGATCTTCAACCCGCCCAAGGATGATATGAAGGACGACATCTCCGGAGAGCCGCTGATCCAGCGTTCCGATGACAATGCCGAGACCCTCACCAAGCGTCTGGCTACTTACCACGCCCAGACCACCCCCGTTGTCGACTACTACAAGAAGACCGGTATCTGGCGCGGCATTGATGCCAGTCAGGAGCCTGGCCAGGTCTGGAAAAGCATTCTTGGAGTCTTCCGCCAGTAAGCTATTCTGTTGGATTGATTGCATTTTAAAAGGGGGAATTTGGGGGGTAATTTGGGACCATTTACCAGTCCAGGCTCCGTGATGCCTACCTTTTTTCTTTTCCCTGTTCTTTTTTTCTTAATTGGGTACACCGGAAGCATGGCTGGTGTTTTCGTCCACATATAGACGTGGGTTTCTCCCCTTGACCGCCATGTATAGTATGTGTGTACCTTCTGAGTACCGAATACACTCAAGATCGGTATGCATTCAATTGGATCTTTTGGTAAATCTTGTAGTCTTCACTCATATTTCCATTCGGGATGAGGTGTATTCACTTAATACTAGTATTACTTGAACTTACCATGTAATTCATACCTAAAATTGCAGAGGGTATTCAGTCGACTCGATCTTCTGAGGATAAGTCAAACCACCCTGCTTTCGCACCTCATCCATGACCTCCATAATCACGATACTTTCTTCCAATGGCAAGCCCTCACTCTCGAGCTTGCCATCGCGGAGACACCGAGCAACCTCATCAGCCTCCCAGTACATGCCCTTACCATTACCAGGGAACGGGCATTGGACCTCACGGATCTCACCGGCACCCTTCTTGGGAATGATACGGTAGCTCTCTGGTCGGAAAGGCTGGCCGTACACCTGGATCTCGCCTTTAGTGCCCTGAATACGGATGGGGGGACCAGCTGAGCCCTTCTCATCGGGATCGGCAGAGACACGAATGTTGGTCATGGCGACACCGTGCGATTGTTGCGGGTGCGGGCCATTGGAGGGAGTGCTTGTGGGGAAGCTCAGGAGCATGGTTGTGCACTCGTCTGCACCGGTGAGGTGATAAGGAGTCATCTGCGAGGAGACAGTGGGTGGCTTCCTCTGGTCTCGGGGCAGGGTGTGGTATAGAGTCTGGAAGACCCAGGTCAGGGAGTAGATGCCCACTAGAAAAGCAAATCAGTCAAGGCTCTTCTTTGTCCTTCTGTGCTTGGGTTGACAATCAATGAACCAAAATCTCTGAAAACCTACAATCCAAGAGAGCACCGCCGGCCAAATCGGGGTTCACCATGCGGTGTGTGGTACCCCATT